ACCATCACCATCATCGTCATCACCAGCACCAGCACCATCAGCATCATCATCATCATCATCAGCACCATCGACATCTTCATCGTCACCATCATCCTCGTCACCATCACCATCACCATCATCAGCATCATCAACATCATCAACATCATCAGCACCATCATCATCAGCATCATCGCTATCATCGCCATCATAGTCATCGTCGGCATTACCACATCGCACACACACGTCATCACGCACATGATCACACACATGATCACACACATCATCAACGTCAGCATCAGCATCAGCATCAGCATCAGCAGCGTTTGCATCAGTATCATCATCAGCATCATCATCATCATCACCATCACCATCATCATCACCATCACCATCACCACCATAATCATCTTAGCCTGGAAGCACAAGGTGTCACACGTGACGGCCTCCCACCCAGCATGCTGGGCTGGCACGGTGGCGAGTCTTATAAAAAAAAACTCTCCAGCACGCAGGACAACTCGGGGGGGCTGTCGAAGCCAGGCGAGACTACCTGGGGGGGCTGCCTGTGCGCAACCCGGAGCCTTACCATGCAGCCACAAGCATGCTCGCCTCGTGAAAAGCCAAAGGCCCTCGCCGGGCCCCGGGACGTCAAATAACGGCTCGGGATGAAAAACCAGCCCTGGGAAAGGGTCGGAAATTCCGCGGACGCGACATTGAACAAAAACCGAGACACCGGCGGATGCCTGGGGCGGGTTCGCGTCGCGATGGCGAACGCGATGGCGAATGCGATGGCTCTTGACACTGCCCGTGGATCGCTCAGCCTTGGACGATCGCCTCTTTCCGGCAACGCAAATCTTTCGGCATCGGCCGATTCCAGGCCACCGGCGGCATTCAACCTTGAACGCCCGCGTTGGGGTCGCCGCCGCGTCGGCACGACACGAACCCACCACACCCAAGCTTCCAACGTGTTGTACAACATCACCACAAGTTTGAACCTCCTGGGACAATTTTCTGGCCCTGGGGCTCCCAAAAAGCTACCTGAGGACGGAGAACCAGTCGGGTGGGAAAAGAGAGAACGAGGACCATGAGGAGTAGGAGGAAGAGGACCTTGCAGACTTTCAGTCTCCTGACCCTTAAGCTCCCACTCCCACCCGCTGTCGCCGCATACGCACTTAGGCTGGACAGAAGGGCCAGGCGACCTGAGATGTTGAGACCGCGCCGCCAGTGGCCACTCCTTGTGCGCAGCCTGCGGTCAGCTCGAGGCCGGCAATGGGGATCGCCTCGGGGCTTCGGGGAAGCACCGTCGGAGCTCCGAAAACCACAGAGGGGGCGCAAGCATCCACGCATCCTCTCGAGCATGAAAGCCTGCTTGCCGGACCGCGACTCCCCGCCGCGGCGCAGAACGGCGAGGTGGCCGCGGAAATGCACCTGGCGCCTGCTGTAAGCACGCTTGCCGTGACGGCAGAGGGCGGTGCGTCACGAGTGACTATTGCCTGCGCGCGCCGCCCTCTGGAGCTGCCTGGGCCCTGGGCCAACCCGTCGCCCGCCAGCATCGGCCCCAGGGGCGCTCTTATGGCGCCTCACTGGGACGAGGATGAGGTCATGATGGGGTTCGCTCAGGATGCGTTCCAGGAGTTCCAGAGTATCTAAGAGCCCTGGTTTGTTTGAGCCCGTATGGCACGCTAAGAAATTCTACAATTCCTGGGAACCTAGAACGTACCATTATCAGTGCGCCGTGCTCCTCTGACTCACTTCACCGAGGCCAAGAGTAGCAGTGCGTTGTTGATGCCGAACTCTGGGTAGAAGATGGTGAGGATGGGCATCAGTACGTTCTGGAGCGGCCCGATCCACTGCACCACGAGCGCGCAGCGGGGGTGGAACACGAACCCGCGCATGATGTTGCGCCAGAACGCCAGGCTGACCTGGAGCAACGAACTCCGATGGAGCTCCGCGCCGATTTCTTGGAACGTCGCTGGAATCCCCTGGCGGCGCCTCCGGCGACGCCCCAGGCGAGCACCGCGCGCCAGAGAGGGGGCTCCAGCGCCAATACAAGAAATACCCTCGGACCTCCGAACGCTTTACGATCCAGGGCTCCAGGCACACACCCCTCCTCATGGTGTTGCCTTCGCCCTTCCCGCCCCCCGCCTCGCGCGATGGGTCCCCCTCCTGTGGTGGTGGCCCTGTGAGCGTGGCGTGGTGGTCGTCGTCGTCGTCGCCGCCGCTGCCGCCGCCGCAGCCAGCGTCGTCGTGGTGGTCGTGGTCGTGGTCGTGGTCGTCGTCGTGGTCTTGGTCTTGGTCGTGGTCTTTGTCGTGGTCGTGGTCGTCGTCGTCGTGGTCTTCGTCGTCGTCGTGGTCTTCGTCGTCGTCGTCGTCTTCCGTCGCCGTCGTCGTCGTCGTCGTCGGCGAGGTAGTCGTCGTCGTCACCCCCCATCCCATCTAGGGGAGGGGAGGCCTGTAAACCCTCGACCAGGGATCATATGTAATATATGCATGTTTTACTCCCAGACCAGGAGCTGGCCACAGCGCCGGACGCAACGCTGCCACGCGGGCAGGTGGCCTGCTGGGGGTGCGGGTAGCTTCTCCTTCGCAGTGCCAAGCCACAGGAACGCGCACGGGTGCAACACGTCGAGGCCGATGAACGTGACGACCAACACTCCAACGAAATCGGCGTTGGGCAGCAGGCCGCCCCAGAAGAGAATATTGGTGACCACCATGGCGTTGACCAGCAGCAGTGTCCACCACTGCGTCATCGCCTTGGACACCGCGCCTCGATCGCCACCCAACCAATAGCTGATATCAACCCCGAGCATCCTGTTCCGAAGGAAATCGAAGAATCCCATCAGAATGGAGTAGACTGTCAGCGGCGCCGTGATGTAGAACATCTGGGTCGTTCGCCAAATATTCGTGAGACTCAAGAAGAACACTTCGTTGGCCGCCATGCTCTGGTCCATGCGGTACCTGCAAGTGGCGCTAATAACCATCGACCAGGACAATACCTGCATCATCCACGAGAATATCACCATACCAGTGGCGTCGAAGTGATACTTCCGGTAGAAAAACACGCCATAATAATTGAATCCAACCCAGAAGAAGGCGGTCCAGAACCATAAGAAATATGTCAAATTATCCATGGTGATCAGCAATCTCGCCCACTGCGCCATGCTGGTAGGGAAGCGGGTTCGGCGCAGCTTTCTTCTTCGCTTGCAGCAGAGGCAAAACGTCCCGTAGTGCAGGTAGCGAGATATCGCGGTGGCGATCGAGACGACCAAAAAAGCGATGACAATGGTCAATACCCATCCGTACACCTGCAAGAACATCTCCGTGAATGTATCCAGGTATGTGGTGGTTGTAATATCCCAGTCTACACACCAGCCTGCCTGCTCCCTCGCAGCGCTCTGCAAGGCGTTGTAGAACGAGTCACCGCCGAAGACCACTTGGCTAATCTGATCGATCAGCCGCAGGTACCCCCAACCGAATACCAAATTGTACAGCGACACGACAAACGATAGCCACACGAACAACGTCAGCCAGATCATGTGGATGCCCTGCTCGCAGCCAAAGAAAGTCTGCAAGGACAAAACCACGCCACCCTCGGCCCAACGCTGCACAGCAGCCAGGTAGTCCACCGGGTCCTTGGCCATGCCGTAGGCGAGCCGCCTGTTGATGTACTGGGAGTGCTTACCCGTGACGACACGGTGAAGACTGCTGGCAGTGTCTTCGACTTTGCAACTCTCGTGGAAATAGGTATGCTCGATGATCTGGGTGAACCCCTGCCGCTTCATTTCGATGCTCTCGTGGTCCCAAATGCTGTCGGTCCCGTGGACGCCCGCGCGCCTGTCTCTGAGCAGCCACGTCCCGCCTGTGCCGCAAGAGCTCACGCCACCAGCGCAATTTCTCAGCATGCAATTCAGGCGGAAGAAATTTGAGTTGTTGGTGTCCAGGAAATCTACGTCGTCAGGCATCTCCGGGTAGTACTGAGGGCACTGCGTGAAGGCAACCGTGGTGTCGACCTCCTGCTTGCCCCCTATCTCTCTCTGAGCCCTGCTCTGCTTGAGGAAGAAGAATGGAACAGTCTCGTGCATGAAATCAGGCTGGTATTGGTGACGGGCGTCGGCGATACTGAACAGGGCATACTTGAACCGCGCAGATTCCATGGCGGTCCTGTCCGAAGGGGCCACGTGCATGGTGTAATCGAATAAGTCCGCCACCGCTCAGTGCCGCGGTTGGACGATGCCATGCCCCATCAATTGTTTTACCCATTTACGTCTTTTCTCCGCGACGCAGCAGACAAATCCCCCATCCATCGCAACCCACATGCGCCAACTTCAAATATTTTCCTTGGCCATCCGGAGAAAATTGCCACAGTGAAAACCCCAGAAGCGGGCAGCGCCCACCCCACAGCGCAGTGGCGGATAAGCGCAGAAGCGCAGTTTAATAATTCTCCACAAAATTGAGGCCACCCGCCTTGCCGCGGCTGGTGCGCAGCGGCACGATGTACTTGTCCTTGTCGAAGTCTGCGTCCGTGAACTCCTGGGCAGTCTGCCGCCACTCGAGCCATGATTTTTTGGTCCGCTTCTCCTCCAACATCGGAATCTTGTAGTACCACATGCCCCGCGCCACGTGTTGCACCTTCAAGATGCGCTCATCCTAGCGGGAGAAGAAGAAGGGGTGGGTGCGTCACCCGAGCTATGGAATACACGCACTGAGTAGATGAACGTTAGTCCCAAAGATGCACGTTCGCTTCGGGGCCGTCGATATCAGGTTAAAATACACTAATGGCAACCTTGTTGACAACAACGAGGTACCGAGCACGTGTGTACACCGATGAATGGTCAACCAGACTGGAACTGCACATGGCACCGTGTTGGGTTACTACTGTAGGCCCTGCGTCTGGTTGCTGAAGGTCGGATGCTACACTAGACCCTGACTTTGGGTTACTACACGTCCGCGCTGGCGATGCCGTGGCCGCCCAACCACACATGAATCGCACATTGTAGAAGCTGTATTGGCTGCAACGATATACGCGC